CCCCCCCTCTGCCTGCGCCCCCCCCCCCCCCGTTTGTAAGTAGGGATCCGACGTAAGTCAGATTGATGTAACCCGGGGACTGCCTGTACTCTGGATGTGGCCTCAATACTGCTGAACACAGGGAAATAATCACTTCCCTCGATCTGCTCTGCTGGCAATGCTTTTACTATTGCAGCCCAATATGTCATTAGTCTTCTTGGCACACTGTTGTCTCACATCCATCTTCTTGTCCACTGTAATCCCCAGATCCTTTTGTGGAGAACTCCTCCCTAGTCATCTGCTGTAAGTTTCCTTTTTGTGTCTAAACTCGCCAAAGATTTCTCTGTTAAGTCACACTGGTTGCCTGGCACATTTGCTGTTCTTTCTGCACATTGGGATGGCTTGTGCCTGCACCCTCAATAAGGCTTCTTTAAAACACGGCCAGCTCTCCTGCACTCCTTCCCCCTCATATTCACCTCCCAGGGGATCCCGACCTTCAGTTCCCTGAGGGGGTCAAAGTCTGCTTTATTCCTTTTGTCAGGATCCTTAACTTCACCGTCTCATGGTTGCTTCTGCCAAGGTTGCCACCATCTTCTACTTCCCCTATAGTGAACTTTGGAATCTTATGGTGCTTGCCTGAATTTGATCTCCCAGACTTCTCTCCTACCGTTCCTTGTCTCAGTGGCGCCTACATGCATGACAGATACCAGCTTCTCTCCAGCACTGCACGTGAGTGTGTGTGGCTGTCTCCAGAGATCTGCATCCTTGGCACTGCAGCAATTCAGCAGGCGGTATTCCTGGTCATTAGACCCCCACCTGTCTATTTCTGCTAATCACATTCCCCAGTCGTGTCACCTGCCTCTTCTTGGTAACTGCAGCCCTCTTCCCCCGGGGGTGCCCTGAGTGCCAGAGGATACTCTGACGTCACCTGGAAGGGGGCCTCTCTGTAGAATCACTTCCCTCCCCTTCCCCAAGACTTTCATCCTCCGCATCAGCACAGAGGCTGCCAGGCTGGGAGTGGGGCCTGCTCGTCTGCGTTCCTCAGAAGTCTCCTCTTTATACCCCCCTGCATCCTTTAGCCCGGCCGGTGCAGCCCCGCCAGACTCAAGGGCCCATTCATGGTCTCTGAGGGCCATGAGCCGCCTGCCCCATGCACATGCATCCCGCCCGCCACGAGGCATCCAGAGCAGCTCTGCTGCTGGCCTCCCACCTGCAGTCCTGGGGAGGTGTGTATTGGCTCCATGCAGGCTGGCTGGCCTGCTCCCTCTGCACTCCCTGGCAAAACGCCGGGGGGCTGGCTCTCTGCATTCCAGGAGCTCCCAGAGCAGCTCTTGTGCACCCTGCTGTGGCTGCGCCCTGCGGACAGTGTGGCGGACGGCGCCCTGGCACAGCTTCTCCCAGGGCAGGGGCAAGCTGGGGAGCGGCTCTGGGACAAGCCTAACTGCAGGTGGGATTAGCAGGGTGCAGGGCCATGGCAATGTGTATAGGGGTGCTCAGGGCTCCCAAGCCAGGACTGGCCTGAGAACAGGTCTAGCCTCTGGCTAGGGAGGGTAAGCTTTGTGTGAAGGGACCCCTCTTATCTTCCCAATGGCCCTGGGAGATGTGTGAATGCCCCTTCATCCTGATGGGCAGTTAACTTTCCTCCCCCGCCCCCATTCAATGGCCCTTCCCTTCTTCCTATTGATCTAATCTCATCCCCGCACAGCTCCACCAAGGCTCAAAGAAAAGAAACAGACCCGCCCCCGGCTCTGGCCCTGATAGTGAGAGATGCAGCCCTGGCAGTCCGGTGTAGCTGAACCAAAAGACAGGACTAGGCAGCACTTCAAAGACTAACAAGAGGGAAAATGCAGGACAATGCAGCACTTTAAAGACTAACAAGAGGGGTTATTAGGTGATGAGCTTTCGTGGGCCAGACCCCCTTCCTCAGATCCAACTGGCTGCTGAAGGCTCCTGCTGGAGACTGGCTGGGAGAGACAAGCCCTGTCTGGCCCAGCCCCTGTTGGTGGGAGAGCCAGAGGCCAGGCAGAGGCTGTCTGTGTGGCTGGGGCAAGGCTTCCTGTCCCAGGCCCCTGCCACTTGTCAGCACTGTCCTCACTGCACCATGGGGGTGGGGCGGTTGCTGCTCGGCCCTAGCTCAAGCAGAGCAGAGCACAGGTTTTACCGGCCCACTTCCCATCAGCCAGCCCTGGCTCCCAGCACTCCCAGCCCCAGTCACAAGTCTGTCTAGCTCAGCGCCTGGCTTCCCCCTTCCGTCCCTTGCCCCCAGCAGGTCTCTGTGCGCCCCTATTCTTCCAAAGCATGCTCCCCCATCTCGCCCCCGGGGCCGCTGTGTGCCGCACAGCCCCTTCCCCTTAGCTATCCTCCCTCTGTGCGCACCTCCTTTCCCCCGTCTCCCCCTTCTGGAGGCTCTTGTAGGACCCCCCTTTCCCCACAGTGCCCCCCCATTCCTCTCCCGTCCCCAGGGCAGTATGACAAGTCATGTTAAAGGGGATGAGCCGGGGTATTGTTATGCAGGAAGCTGTTGGGTGCCATCAACCAGTTGTTTGATCTGTGAGGTGGCTCTACTAAGCAGCTGGGCTTCCTGCATTCCCTTGCCCCCACAATTGTTAGGGGTCTGGCCCTTGGTGCCTGGCATATTCCCTGCCATTTGTGCAGTGATGGGATGTGCTGCTCAGCAGTTATTGCAGTCCCCAGGTAAAACACAAACCCAGTGTGCAGCTTTGCAAGTTCATCCAGTGAACAGTCATGTTGCACAGGAATGCAGCTGCCTCTTCTGAAACCTACATAGTTACATGTTTGAATCCTGCTTTTTATTTAGGAAACAAAGTGAAAGCCACCTGCCCGTCATAGGGAGGCATGCAGTACCCAGAGGCCTGCTGATTTCGGTGGGCGTCGCTGGGTGCTCAGCACTTTAGAAAATCAGGCCACTGATGTTTGTTCCCAGAAAAATGTGAATTTATGCACCCAGCCTTGAAAATGTCGCCCTTCATTGCTCTGTGCCTTGAGTATTGCGCTCTGCAAGACAGGGTCACGATGCCCACTCCTGCGTGCAAAGAACTCTGGCAACTGCATGTGCATAGCACGTTTGATCTGAACAAGTGCTATGGTTCTTGTGGCGGCTGTTGGATAAAGCAGAGCTAACTGCGGCCTCTGCCCTCTGTTTAACAAAAGTACAGCCTGACATTTTTGCCAACTCTTGCCATGTAATTGTAAGTCTCGAGCTCGCTGGTGTTTTTTCTTAGAATGCCAGCTCCTTGAGCCAGGAGAACCATGAGAATCGTAGTGTTTGTGAAGTATGTTTCTAGCCCTCCTGGCTGTGGTGAAAAGCAAATAGAATGCAAAGGACAAGAGAGCCACATTTTTCATTTTAAAAATACCTCAGGCTTTTCGGGGCCGGACTCATCACTGTTAACACGTGGGTCTGGCAGTGCTGGCTGCACCCCTCCGCGTGGTGAAATCGGGTCGTGTCCCTCACCCTTGTACTCTGGGTGCGTCCCTTGCCTCTGTGTTCTTTGGCCCCCGCCCCGGAGAGGTCGGAGATAAGAAAGTAGCTGCCATGGGGAGTCCTTGCCCAGGAAGTGGGGGGCTTTCTGGGAAGTGGCTACCCTCTGAGTCACCTTTCTTCTCAGACGTGTATGTGTCGACCATCCTGGTGTGACTGTCTGTCTGTCCCACATGCTAGCAAGAGCCCCAGGTCTCTTGGCTTGGCTGCCTTTTTCTCTCTCCCAGAGCAGCTGGGCCTGGCCACTATGATAGCGGCAGTTTCTCCTGCTGCCGTCTCTCCTCCCTGCCTCACTGCAGCAGCGTCATGGTGGGGCAGCAGGAAGGGAACAAGGGAAGCGATGTCCCCAGATGCCTACCCACTATTTACCGCTCTGAAGCTGTGAGGTGGAGGAGATCAGTGGCCCAAGAAATATTGGGCAAGTGTAGCAACGCAATAGGCCTCCTGCCAGTTCCCGGAAAACACGCCGGAGGAGGCGAAGAGTCAGGCTTTGTCTGCACAGGGAAGCGTATTGGCGTGGCAAAGGCCTGTCTACAGAGCAATGCTTCTTTGAGGTAAGTTTTCCCCATGCTGCTATAGGTGGCAGAGGGCTAGGGCTTGAGGGCTCAGCCCCCTGGTCTGCCTTGCCACCTCACCGCCTGCCTGCATGCCCAGCTCCGTAGGAGAAGTCCCGTGTCCGGCAGCACCACAGCCAGGACCCCTGAGGTGGGGTCTTGTGGTAGGAGGGGCCCCACCTGTCCGCAGGCTCTTGTGTGTCTTAAGATGCTGTGGCAGGTTTCTTTGAATCATCAAGAGCCAAGGGGCAGGAGAAGGGAGCTGGGCCCTGCCCATGAGACAGGAACCACCCCTGCAGCAATGGCAGCTCCTTCTCCAAGGCCAGGCTACAGACAGCATCCCCCCTCCACACACACACTGGAGACCAAACCTGACACCCTCCCCCGAGAAGAGACTCATCCTGCATACACCCAGGAGTGAGGATGCAGCCCCCTCCCAGAATATTTTCACTGTCCGCCTCCGACTGTGACTAAACCAGGGTAACGTCGCCAGCAGAGTGCAGCCACAGAGCCCACCCCGCTTTGCCCCTTCCCAAGCCATGCACAGAAGTCTGGCCCGCGGTGCCCTGCTCTGCACACCCCGCCGGCCCCGGACAAGGCTTTCGACGGGCTAGTCCACCTAGCTGTGCCTCAGTCCTTACGCCAGCGTGACTCCCTGCGTGGACGCTCCTGGCTGGAGCGCCACTAAAAGCTCCACCCTAGGAATCACTGTGAGGCCGTTCTCTGGCCTGTGTCATTATACTGGAGCCACTCCGGCAGGGGAGGGTTACAGACCAGCCAGAGGAGGCGTGTGCAGTGCTGGCCAATCAGGGTGGAGAGCAGTCAGCCAATCAGGACCAGGCTGGGCTCTAGAAAAGGCTGCAGTGCTGAGGGGCACTCATTCTTGTTCTGGCTGGGAAGGGAGTAGGAGCACCTGGAGAGAGCAGGGGTGGGCAGGGTCAAGGGAGATGGAGGGAGGCTCCAGGTGGTGCCCTTGCTACAGGGGCCGAGAAGGTGCAAAGGTTCGTGGGGAAGTAGCACCAGGAACAGGAGCGGTAAAGGGGCGAGGAATGGCTGCTGCCAGAGGGTCCCTGGGGTGGGACCCAGAATAATGGGTGGGCCTGGGGCTGCCCTTCCCCTTTCAGTGCTTCTGTGGAGTGTAGCCAACGGGTGGCAGCAGCAAGTGCAGGACGATCTGTGCTGCGCGCTGTTTCACTGCCAGTGTCGTCCAGGGCAAGCAGGGGCCATGCTGGGCCAACACACTAGCCGGTTTCGAGCCTCAGTGCCGAAACAGTCTGGACACCCTTGCAGCACGGACCTAGCGGCACCTATTTCTGACCCTCACTGCCAGCAATGGGCACTTTTCTAGCATAGACCAGGCCCCAGAGAGAAGCACAGAAGGGGCTTGATTTCACCTCTGTTGCATTTGCAGTCTGGGCCTTCCAACGTCGCTGAGCGAATGCTGCAGAAAGCGCTGCGGTGCACTGCACACACAAGGCAGCACTGAAGCATCCTGCCAAGGCCTGAACAAATGCTGATGCAGCATTTCCCCTGGACAAAGGTCAGTCCTGTTTCACTGGCTTCTGAGTTCACTATCTTCTGTAGCAGTGCCGTCCTCTCCCCATCCCCAGTCTTGCAAGGAGCGCTGTGGGGCAGCCCCTACAGCGAGGGGCGGGGAGGGCTGCTGACTCAGAAAAACGCACCGCTCCGGTCATCTGGTGAAGTGGGCTGTGCCCACAAACACTCATGATCCCAACGACATGTTTTGTGAGTCTGTAAAGTGCTCCCAGTCCATTGGTTGTTTTGTACATTAATCAGAAAAACCAGTCAGGAGCTGCACAAAAGTGAGAGGCAAAAAACAACCGCCTCCCACACCCTCACTGAGGTGGCCCCCAGTTGAGGAGAGCCCCTGCCCATGTCCCCTCACACACAAGGCTAGTAGATTTTGTGGGCCCTCCTAGGCTCTGGGGAGGGGCCAAAATGAGGGGTTCAGTTTGTGGAAAGGAAGGGGCTGCTGGGAAGCAGGCTGAGGATGTGGGTCCGGGTGGGGGGGGGAAGTACAGGAGCGGAGCCCCAACCCTCAGGGGCTGGATCCAGGCTCGTTGGGGGCTGCATCTGGCCCCCGGCCTTAGGTTCCTCACCCCGGCCCTACAGCCACACAGAGGCCTGCTTGTTGGGAGAGGAGGGCTACCACTCTGTCAGAGACCCATTCCAAGAGCCTTATCCCACTGCCGCATAGGACACAGCATTCGTTCACGCTGTAGGAAAAGACCAAATCACTTCAGTCGGCATTAGAAAGTTACTGATTTCAAACCAATTTCCCCCTAAACCACTGCAGGGAAACGCTGCTTTTCTTTATCTACTGGCTTGTTAGAAACAAGCGTAAACCACACTGAGGGAGTGCCTAGACTATGGCCCTCTTTCGACAGAGGGATGTAGATTAGACACTTCGAAATTGCAAATGAAGCCGGGATTTGAATTTCCCATGCTTCATTTGCATAATTGCATCATGACGCTCTTTCGAAAAAGCCCTGTTTCAAAAGTGAAACCAGCCTAGATGTGGGTCTTTCAAAAATAGAAGCCATCTTCCAAAGATCCTACAAACCTCAAAAAATGAGCGCCATGCCGCGATTACGCAAATGAAGCGTGGGAGATTCAAATCCCGGCTTCATTTGCAATTTCTAAGCGTCTAATTTACATCCCTCTGTCGAAAGAGGGATGTTGTCTAGACGTGCCCTGGGAGTGGGGACTCTTTGCTGGAGCCTTTGCAAGCCATTTGCATGTTCCTGTCCACACTGGCCAATCAGGGCTACTTTGCCGTGTGCTTGTGCCGGACTGAGTGGAGCTCACTTGACTTACTCTGAAGCGAAGCGGTGCCTATGCAAACGGCTCTGCTCATTTACTTAACGTGCCCTGAGCCTGAATGGGACCTTGCTCCCGAGCTCAGTTTTGCCACACTGGGATGTATCTCACTTCACTGGAGTGACTGGCCACTTGTGGCGTAAGAGCCAGACTCAAAGGTCACTTCAGACGCTCTGCTGCCAGTTGAAATTCTTGTCCCAAGTGAGGTGCTCAGGCTCCCCAGGTAAGGTTGGGGAGAGACATTAACCGCAGGAAGCTTAGCCCGATGACACTGCTTCAGGTCAGTGAGGGTGGCAGAATCAGAGTCAGACTGGCCAGGCCAGAAGGGACCAACATGATCTACTCTGCCTCCTGCACATGGCAGGCCGCAGAACCTCCCCCACCTTAATCAGCCACTCTTAACTCAGCCAGGTCACAGACAACCCACCACTTATTCTCGTTCAAACAAGCAAGTGCCCCTGCCCCCCTGCAGAGTGAGACAGAAAATGCCAGGGTCTCTGCCCGCTGGGCGGGGGAGGAATCCCAAATACGGGGATCAGTTAGATCCTGAGTAAGTGGGCAAGACCCACCAGCCGGACACCTGAGAGAGACTTCTCAGTACTAACTCGGAGCTCCCCACAGCTACTGCCCCATTTCTTACTGTTCTGTATTTGCTAATAGCTGTCAATGATGGGCCATGTGCCACCATCTCATCATACTCCCCCCTCAGTAAGTGTCAAGCTCAGTCTAGCACCCTCACTACTCCCTTGGCAGGCTGCTCCAGACCGTCACGCCTCTGACAGCTAGCGCCCTTCGTCTAATTTCATTCCTAACCTTATTGTTGGCCAATTGATACCCGTGTTTTCGTGTGCCAGGATTAGTCCTTAACTGTAATGAAACCTCTCCCTGCATGGTCTTTACCCTCTGGTGTATGTATAGAGAGCACCCTGAATTTAGTTAGGTAAGCAAGCCAAGCTCCTTAAGGCTTCTCTCAAACGGTAGGTTCACCATTCCTCTGATCATCCTAGTAGCTCTTCTCTGCACCTGTTTCAGTATGAATCTTTCTTAAACATGCAGTAGCCCAGATAAGGTCTCACTTGTGTTGTGTGTAATGGTACCATCACTTCCCAACTGCTTCTGGAAGTACCTCCACTGAAGCTCTATAGGTCTGCTTCACACTGGCAGCTCATGGCCATCCTGTGATCCTACGATGCCATGTCATTCCCTTCCTCTGTGTCCCAAAGATACCTCTCCAACTTAGTCCTGAAATGCCTGATGCTGCACTTTGCACTGTTAAATGTCCTCCCGTTTCTGTTCCTCCTGTTCTTAGGGTTTCCACATCATCTTGCATAATATTCCGATCCTCCCTTGTGTTGGCAATACCGCCCAGCTTTGTGTCAGCCACAAAGCTTTCTTTGGATGCTCCCACACTAAGGAAAATGTGAAATAAGACTTGTCCCGAGAGTAGCCCTTGAGGGACTGGTCTGACAGCTCACCTTTCAGCATCACCTGTTGGAGTCTCCCCTTTAACTAGTTCCCTGTCTTTTGCTTCTCAAATCAATCCCCATCTTCTCCACTTTAACTCATTCCCAAGTGGCACTGTAGCAGATACTTCACAGAGATCCTGGCTAATTAGAGCTACTGCATTTTCTTTGTCTAGGTGGAAATGAGCTTCTCAAAGAAAAAGATCCGATTGGTCTGGCACAATCTAACATGGTTTTACAAAATTTAGATGTTTATCCCCATGTATTTCTCTAACTCCTCTATCTTTCAAAATTTGGTCTAAAACCTCACATAGGCTTGAGGTCAAATTACTGCATCTGAAATTTTCCAGATCACTTCCCCCTTTCTTAAATATAGTTCCTTGTGATTGCATACTCCCCTGTATTCAGACCTTATATGCTAGTGTGATAATATTTGTACAGAATATCTTTGGAAGGTAGGTTTGAAAACTCTTAATTTGCTGATGAGTGTTGTTCTGGTAAAAGTGTGGTAATATTGTATGTGAAGTTATAAGATTGCTGTGTATGGCATTAACATGTTTTCCAAACCACACAGCCCTGCCCAGAGGGGCAAACAGATCTGTCCTAAACAAAGGAATGTGTGCTGTTAATTTGCATGTAAGTCGTAAACAGTCCTCAAGCAGCAAGAGAAGATAAAGGAAATTCAAACTGGTTAAAAAACCAGCAGGGAACATTCTTCTGCATAGACTTTTTGGCTCCTGGTTCTCAGCTGGAAATACTTTTCCAGAAGGGACCTTAAGGTACTCCCCCCTCACTCCCTACCCATCACAAGCACTGTACCTGAAGGGACAAAGGCTACAACTGCTGTGCTATGTCTACACTCTCGGCTTCTTGCGTGAGAAATGTGCAAATGAGGCTAAGCGTGGAATATCGCTGAGCCTCATTTGCATACCTAATGAGCCGCCATTTTTGCTCTTGCGCCAGAAGGAGCTGTCTACACTCCCTCTTCTTGCGCAAGAAAAACCCTCTTGCACAATGCCGTTCTTCCTGAAAATAATCAGCATAGCGGCATTGCGCAAGAGGGTTTTTCTTACGCAAGAAGGGGCAGTGTAGACAGCTCCTTAGGTACGCAAATGAGGCTCGGCGATATTCCATGCTTAGCCTCATTTGCATATTTCTCAGGCAAGATCCCACCAGTGTAGACATAGCCCTGGTCTCTGGAAGTGTTCTCACCTACAGAGCATAGGTGATAACTCCATGGACACTGTGGGGCTGGAGCACCCACAGGGGAGAAAGAAGCCCACCTCCCCATGTCTCCCGCCAGAGGCAGGCCCCACCCATCAGCCCATCCCCAGTGAAGTCATGGGCCTTCACATTCATAGGCTTGTTCAGGATTGGGCTCTGAGCTGGTAGAGTCCATACCCTGGAAGATGCTCAGAAGACAGGCTGCCATTTGGTGCGTGGTAGCTGTACAGACTATGGGGGAGTTACACAAGTACTAGAATATAGTTGGGAAAAGAAAAAAGTACATAGGAAGTAACTGACATCTGTAGCAAATTCAGTTATGCCTTTTGATCTGTCTTTTGCACTTTTAAATATCTGTGGGCTCTGTAGTAGGGACGTTAAGTCCCAGTTAATCAGTTAAACTGATTAAGTGGGATCTCACTCCTGGCCCCTCCCCCACACACTGCCGGCATCCCTAAGTGCAAGGGAGCTGGCTTCTGCTCCCGGCCTCCCCATGCGAGGGGTGGCCAGCTTTTGCTTCCAGCCTCTCTGTGCAGCAGGGCCAGCTCCTGACCCCCATGGTTGGGGGAGGGCTGCTCCCGGGTACTGGCTAACTGATACCCAGGAGCATAATCTGGTAATCCCGGCTTCCCATCAGCATCCCTGCTCTGCAGTCAGAACACCATTTGATGTTCCTCTCAGGGCCAGTAGCCACAGGGGAGAGAGAGGCACATGTAGTTCTTTTCATCTACAACAAATTCAAAATTAACAAGTATATGGCTGCACTTTGGGAGTATTAGTCTCTTTAGAGTCTAGGAGGATGCAGGCAGTTGCTGTGTGTTCTTTGCATTGTGGCTCCGGTAAGCAATGACTGTTGTGTGCACACAACAAATAGACAGTCCCTGTGATTAATACAATCATGAAATTTTTCCTTGAGACACTTGTGCAGCTGCACTGAAATGAACGGAAGATGAACAAGTAACTGCACAGCATTTGTTGCATGTGTAGCTTTGTTTCTTGTTTGGGACTTTTATTCTCCCAGGTACGAGGCTGCTTGTGGCAGTGGTAGTCTTCAATTGCTGCTTGTGATTGCAGAACAGAATCAATCAATCTCTCCCTCTCCCTCTCCCGGGCAGCTTAACAGGAAATTCTTGCTTTAGAAAACCATTGACAAAAGCTGTTCCTATAAGCAAATAGAGGCCTGATCTTGCTTCACTAGTGGTGAAGTTCCTCCCATTGACTTCACTGAGAACAGGATCAACCCTAAAACATGGGGAGAGGGGTCCATTATACGATGTTTGAAGGGAAAAAACAGTTTCCGCCAGCTGAGTGTCTGATCCATTATAAGGCCAGAAAGGCTCCTGCTGACTCTAGCCTGACCTGCCTAACAAGCCCAAAGAGTTACCCAGTGGTGCCTTTAGTGGGCAGGAGTGAGCCCAGTGCAAGTTGTACTTGAGTGCAGCATCTCAGACAGGCAGTGTTGATTTCAAGACTCCAGGCTAGACCCAAAGGCACTTGGGCACCACCAAAGCACACACTTAGGCACTGCTGCTAGCCTCAACCACTCAGTTGCCACCTGTGCCTGTAAACGTCTGTTCTGGCAGTAGCCACATGCATCCAGATGCTGCCCCCCATTAGCAAGCTATTTAGTGCCCTCACTCACACCGAGGCCCGAGTGGGATTCTTGAACTAGATATTCCCCCCGTCGTGCACCAGCAAGACCTGTGCACACTTGTACATGCACACCCAGCCATGAGGGAAGCTCTGAATGCCATGCTGCCTGAGTTACAGCAGACACTTGAATTGCCATCTCTGCCATCTCCCAGCAGTGCAATGGGGTTGGGGGAGTCACCCTCCCTGAGAAAGGGCTGTTGTGACAAAAGTCCTTTGAACCAGATGGATTCCTTCAGAACGCCAGATAATAGCAAATGTGAAATTGCAAAACTTCTTTGTAGACGAGAATTTAAACCTGTGTCTGTACCAAAAGACTGGAGGGTAGTTAACGAGATGCCAGTTTTTAAAAACTGCTTTAGAGAACATCCTGGCCATTATAGGCCAGTAAATCTAACTTCAGTACAGGGCAAACAGGCTCAAACTACAGTAAAGAACAGAATGGTCAGATACATAGATTAACATCATTTATTGTGGAAGAGTCAATATGGTTTCTGTAAAGGGCAATCAAATGCCTCATCAATCTACTAGAATTCTGAGAGAGGGTCAATAAGCATGTGGACAAGGGGGATCCAGTGTACCTAGACTGAGAACCTTTGACAGGGTCTCTCACCAAAGGCACTTAAGCAAAGTTGCCATGGGATAAGAGGGGAGGGTTACAAGATGCGCATCAGAACAAACAGACATGAAATATTCAATACACACATTTAAGCATTAGCTGAAGCATGATACACACCCACACAGAATTCAAACTCCCTCCAGACACGGCCATGAGAAGGGGTATTTATCTTCATAGCAAGGAAACAAAGTGCTAAGAGAGCTAGAAAATAATTAAACAAGTTTAATGGCATGACAGACTGCTAAAAAAAATCAACATGGCTAAGTAAAAATAATCGACATCACATGGACAACAAAACCAAACCCTCCACCAAAACCAACTGTCAAACTTTGCTGCCATTTACTACTCCCCACATGACCATAGATAGTTACATATGCATTCTAACAGGCCAGCGGTGAGACTAATTCTCTCTCCCTGCTTTACAGTTTAGTCTGTTCTCTAGCTTGAAAGAGTGAACCTGCTCAGTTCTTCTCCCCAACAGCCTTGTGATTGTCAGAGCTCTAAACTCTAAAACCCCCATCCCTGGATGTGCCCAACCTCCCAGATTGGTTACTGGCCTTCTGGCTGTATATGGGTGTCTCAGCCATTTAAGTTTAAGTGTTCCTTCTTTGGCTGTCAGGATCAGTAATGAGCAAGCCAAGGCCTGACTGCGGTGTTCCTTCAGTAGTCTTGGTCCCACTCACCCAGCAGAAAACAGATCCAGATCTCTCAGGTGGTGAAGTAGAACCTTACTACAAATGTGGGACTATTTTTTTAGTGTCAGTTCCTCATTCTGAATAGTTTCTTGGTTAACAAGAGTCTTGTAAGTTTAGTCTTCTTGTATGATACAAACCCTGAACTTGGGCAAAATAATCTTAAACAGCTGTAGCTTTTGCGTAATAGTAGTTGTGGTCACCTTTTTCTTTTTGCACCCAGTAGCATGGAGGCCAGGTTAACACTAGGGTTTTTGCTGGCATAGAAATGTCACTAACAAAACTACCAATCGAACAGCTATTATTGTACCATCTCGAGTTTCTAGTGGATATCTAGCCACAGTGTCATTATTCTCTTCTTACCTCCAGGTGTCCTTAGAGCATCCAGCGTCTTTGCTTTTCAAAGCAGCTCCTCTTTGCTTGCTAGAGCCAACCCTTAATGCAAGGAGGCCAGGGGAAGTTCTCAGAGCCCATCATTGGTGGCTCCAAAATAGCATCAGAAAGCAATGTCAAAGGGCCACCAAACCCATGTTACACAAAAGCCAAGGGCATTTTCAAAATCAATCTGCAAAGCAAGTTGACGGCTCTGTAGGGGTTTTCCTGCACTGCAGCTCAAAGCTGTGATTTTAGCACTCAAGCGAGTGCACTAAGGGTACGTCTAGACTACATGCCTCTGCTGACAGAGGCTTGTAAAATAGGCTACCTGACGTAGTCAATGAAGCGGGGATTTAAATATCCCTGGCTTCATTAAAATAAAAATGGCCGCTGCACTGTGCCGGCTCAGCTGATTGTTGGCACAGCGCGGCAGTCAAGATGCAGATTGGTCAACAGGGGAAGCCTTTCTCGACCGCTCCCTTATGCCTCGTGAAACAACCTGTACAGAAGCGGTTGACAAAGGCTTCCCCTGTCGACCGATCCGCGTCTTGACTGCCCCGCTGTGCTGACAATCAGTTTTATTTTAATGAAGCCGGGGATATTTAAATCCCCGCTTCATTGACTGTCAGAACCTATTTTACATGCCTTTGTCGGCAGAAGCATGTAGTCTAGACATACCCTAAAAGTATCAGCATGGCTATTAGTGCACTGGCTAGTTGCCCTACTCCAAGCCCTGAGTTTGGGCACGTAGTCTGAGCTGCCACAGCCACACTGCTAATTTAGCATGCAAGCTTGAGCTGGGCATCACGCCTCCAAGCTGCAATGTAGGCATCGTAGGAGTCCTGGATTCAGGTTCTGCATTCAGTCGCTGTCAATGTTCTCTCTAAACTTTTCCATCCACGTGTGCAATAACTTTTGTTACGTTTACCAAGGCATGCATGAATGTACACCACCAATAGAAATACATCTGCACAGCTTACAGGGAACTCTGGTCGCAGTAAAGTGCTTATTACCAAGTTTGCAGTGTCCCATGAAATTACCTAACACAAGCTTGCAGATGCTGGAGCACAAAGACACCCGCACTGGAAAAAAACCTGGCTCCCAGGACATGGTTAAGCTAGTTATTTTGGAAGCCTGGGAGAGGTATGATTGCCAGGTCACTAAAACACTAAAAATTGGATAGATATTGCTTTGTCGTTTTATTATAGGATTAGGAAAACAGGGTATGTTTTGATACCTGCTAAATCTCTGAACAACATGGCTGTATCCAAGCTCTGTTAGGACTGTGAAAGTCACTGACTGTATTGATTCCTTCATTCCTCTCCCACACAGTTAGAGGCTTTAGTCTGAATGCTTCAAAATTAAAGTCTTCACCACCAAGAGCTCCCTGATCTTATGCCTATTTTCTTTTCAAAATACCCAAAGAATAACATCTACACGAGGACAGAACAAGTAGCAACGGACTTAAACTGCAGTAAGGGAGGTTTAGGTTGGAATTAGGAAAAAGTTCCTAACTGTCAGGGTGGTCAAACACTGGAATAAGTTGCCCAGGGAGATTTAAATATCTCCAGAGATGGAGAGTCCACAGAGTAGGTTAGAAAAATGTCTATCAGGGATGGTCTAGACAGTGCTGGGTCCTGCAATGAGTGCAGGGTACTGGACTCGATGACTTCAAGGTCCCTTCCAGTCCTATTATTCTATGATCTAAATCCATGAAGCATCTTATTAAAATAAACACTAAGGTATGGAGAGATTTCTAATTCTTCACCCAAATCCCTGGGAGAAAGATTTCAATAGGTTTTGAAACTGAAGTTGCATACATTAAAAGGAAAGCACTAAAATGCAGGGAAGAAGGGTGTATTTAACTGCAACCACGTCAGGGAGACCATCATCTCCTTTTTGTACCTCCGTAACCTGCAAAGGAAAAAGAGTCATTGTAAAAAGCCTTAACAGCCTCAGCTCAGCATCAGTTTATAGACTTTAAGGTCAGAAGGGACCATTTTGATCATCTAGTCTGCCCCCCTGCACAATGCAGGCCACAGAATCTCACTCACCCACTGCTAGAATAATCCTCTCACCTATATCTCATATATTGAAGTCCTTGAAACGATGGTTCAAAGACCCCAAGATGCAGAGAATCCTCCTGCTAGTGACCCGTGCCCCATGCTATGGAGGAAGGCGAAAAACCTCCAGGGCCTCTGCCAATCTACCCTGGAGGAAAATTCCTTCCCGACCCCAATATGGCGATCAGCTGAACCCTGAGCATGTGGGCAAGACTCACGAGCCAGACACCCAGAAAAAAGTTCTCTATAGCAACTCCTATCTTCCCACCATTGGCCTATTTACCACTGATAGTTAAAGGTCAATTAATTGCCAAGATCATGTTACCTCATCAAACCATCCCCTTCATAAACTCATTTAGCTTTATCTTGAAGCCAGATAGGTTTTTTTCCTTATATCCATTTGTTCTTGTGTCCACATTGGTACTGAGCTTTCCATTTGGTTCCCACTCCTCTACACTCGTACATGTTGATAGCAGCGTCAAGAGTAGTCACAGGATTAAGGTGACACTGAGCTGGCCTGGGAAAGATTTCTAGGTGATGATCTGGACTGATCTCTGACAAGACTTTACTAAGACACACATGAATAATCACCACTAACAGGAGAGAGGAGAAATCCCTAATACAGGCTGCTGAAGTCTTCAGACAACTGAAGATGGGCCCAGTGCAGATAACATGATTTTCACTGGAGGCCTACAGGGAAGCTTCACATCTCTCATCTCTCTCTTGCAAACACTCCAGACCAGGAATGTGTTTGAATGCTGTGAGTGCATTTGCCAATGGGCCCTCAATCTGGAGGACAGTCTTTGGGTGCAACCATAATATAAATATTCATTAATCATTAAGAAATATCCTAGAACCGTGTTTCCCAGTTTTATTTGGCCATGGAACCCTTCTGAACTACTTAACTAGGTAGAGAAGGCTGAGGGGGAACACGATAAATACATAATGGACTGATGTAATTAATCCCCGTCTATAGAAAGATGGGGATTAATTGTTCTCCACGTCCACCAAGAAGTACTCCACTTTGTTAGCAGCAGGGGAGATTCAGGTTAGACATTAGGAGAAACTTTCTGACTAAGGATAGGGAAACACAGGAATAGGTTTCCAAGGGTGGCTGTAGAATCCCGACAGGTATTTGTCCAACCTGTTAAAAGTCTTCCATGACTGGGATTCTACAGCCTCCTTTGAAAGCCTGTTGTAGAGCCTGACTATAGAGTTTAGCTGTAGCTCTGTCAGTTCCAGGAAAAACATTACCTCTGCCACCTCACTTGGCATTTCAGCTATCTGTTATTTACTCAATAACACTTTGGGGGAGAAGTTATGTACAGCAGGAAGTTCACACACGGTCAAGAAACTTTATGGAGAACATGTATTCAGCAAGAAGAAGTTTTATTTAGCCTAGAAGGAGCTGATCCAAAATCCACTAAAATCTTATGGAGTCTGTCCGTCCATTCCAACATGCTTTGGATCAGCCCCAAACCTCTTGAGGGACTGCAGGAAAATAAAGCCATCTTTGCCTTACCAGAAGCAGTTCTTGTCCCTGAGGTGTGAGGCCCTGTAGAACCACTAGAATTTCCACCTGTAGGAGGGGGAGCAGTAGGACTGGTGTATGGAAAATATGAGGAACGTGGTTGTGACCTGATAAGAGAAATGGTTTAAGCGTTTGTTTTTTTATGAATGGTCACTCTGAGCAAAACATCTTTTAAAAAGACAAATCTGAGTAGAAAAGTAGAGTTGCAACATTATACTTATTTTTAGGCCTACAAATTAGCAAAGTGCAAAAAGGAATTAGACAGCTACATGAATAACAAGGATTTTCTGAGTTATACTTAATGCTAATAAGTTTTGGAAGAGATTAAATCTCTTGCTTCAGCATTTGCACCCTTGCGCCTTGTTCTTTCACAAGTGTGAAAATGTTGGCCAAAGATCTGTTCTAAGTCAGGAAGCTGAAGTTAGGCTCTTAAATACTTATTTATGCCACTAAGTAAGTGCCTTGAGTTTCCGGCATTCGGAGCACGCAAGAGTGCTGACTGATGCCCAAAAGCACAGCTTTTCCATACAAACCGTTCCTGATGTTTAGGCCAGTTTAAAGTTTAAAAAGCCCAGATACTTGAAACATGCTAGGAGCCCTAATGGGGTGATTTAAGTTACTTCAGCAAGCCACTGACCTATGAAGTGACATTATAAACACTTGTGTTTCATACTACTAAAGAAATTTGTACTCTGTATTCACTCTCGTCTATTAGCTTGGCTGCTTTTACTTCTGTTAGTGCTTCAGAGCTAAGAGTGTCAGCTCGGTTCTGTTGCTTCTTGTACATCAGAATAGGTCTCTGATCCCAAACTGTTCTTTTCTACAGCGCTCCCAGTTTGTGTGTCTCAGCTCCCGCCCAATTACTTTTCAAAGCAGACTGAAATTTCAGTACATTCCAGCATCCTTCATACTAGAGTTATGGAGCTTTTATCCGTTGGTTGGTATCCCAATTTTCCCCTTTAAAGAGTAGGTAAATACACTCGCCCCTTATATTACTACGTTCCAATAAAAGGTGAGTTAGCATATCTGCATGTAGCTCAGTAACTTGATAAACAAAACACTCCTGGGCAAGATCAGTTTGGGCTCTGAAGAGCCATACAACTCCACTAGCATGGCAGGTATTGCTACTCCTGCTAAGCGGTTGGGAAGAATTTACAAGAGGTTTTGATTTTTTAAATAAACATTTCAATATCTGAGCCCACATCTGAAGTTACTTTATTACTGTAAACCAGACTTTGTTTCTTTGTACAAAGTAATCAAGTAAAAGTCCTTTGTAGTACTATTTTTTTGTTTACATTTTCAAATACTTTATTTTTGATTACAAGTATTTGCACTGTAAAAAACAAAAGAAATAGGCCTGCATTTAACCACGAACATTAACCAATGAGCCCAGAGTCATTGGTTAACCCCGTACATTGTTACACTTTCAAATACGAACTCTGGTGGCCAAAGTATCAAAGGGCATACAAATGTCTGGAATATCTGGCACCTAAATACCTTGCAATGCCATTTACAAAGTATGGCAATTTGAAGCTAAGAAGCCAGCAGCATTATCTTCTGCAAATGTAAACAACTTTGTCTGTCTTAGTGGTTGTCTGAACAAAAAGTAGGACTGAGTGGATTTGTAAGCAGTAAAGTTTTACATTGTTTTATTGTTGAGAGCAATTATGTAACAAAAATCTACATTTGGAAGTTGCACTTTCCTGATAGAGATCACTTTACAGTATTTTTCTGAGCTAGAATGAAAAATTATAAATATAATTTTACAGTGCAAAAAGTGGTGCTATAGACTTCGTCTTCTGTGTTTGTAACTGAAATAAAGTGTAGAAAAAGATGAAAAAAACCCCACCAAATAAATTTCAATTGTTATTGTTAAAGTGTGATTAAAATTGCAATTTTCATAACTGATTAACAGCCCCCACTACATTAAATTACTTCAGTTATTAATATTCTCAGCTATGTCACAGGAGAAATTCCACATAGCTTGTTTACATTATTTCTAAAATTTGAAGTTCATCTAAACAAGCTACAATGGTAGGTGCTTCACAAACAAAACCAGTCTCAAAGCACCCTTTTAAAATGCCTCATTCTGCTGCAGCTTCCGCCTGAATTGCTACTGTGGCAGGATTCTGCAGCTTGGCTGACGCAGGAGCCTGCAATTTCCAATACAGAAGCAATGTGAATGTCCACACGACATGGAGTAAGGACTATGGGGAACAGGCAGAGCAGTGAGCACAGTGCTTACCTTTGATTACCAGCCAAGTACCCTAGTAGGCCTCCTGCTCCAAGTCCAGTCCAAAACCCCGGTCCTGAATTGGCCTCATAACTGGAACCGCCACCAAAACCACCAGCTCCTTCATTCAAATTGCAATGAAAAACAAAACAAAAACAATCAACTTTGTCAATGGCAATTAACCATTCTTAAGAGTCAAGAATACTCCACATTCAAGAATTATTTTAACAGAGGAGTACAGTGAAACTGGCTTCAGTGGACCCATTCCCATTTGAAGAGCTTCAGAGAGTGGTTCTGCTTTGGAAAATGACTCCATTAAAATGACCTTCTGTTCATTAGTTATATTACAGTAATGCTGAGTACCTCCATCCAAGATGAGGGGCTCTGTTACTAGGCACTGGGTAAGAACACATTAAGAGACAGTCCCTGCCCCAAAGAGCTTACCCTTTAAAGAGGCAAGACAGATAAAGCCAGGGAAGTGAGGCAACCTGTCTGAGATTCCATAGCAGATCAGTGGTCAAGCTGGGGACAGAACTCTCCACTCATTGTCACTCAACAGATTTTCCACCATGTTGAGTAACTGAATAAGTTGAATAGTATGGGCTCATTCTCATGACAAACACCATCATCACATTTTTCTCATGGTAGTTCTGACTCAAGTGTGTGTTAGCAGAACTGTTAATTAAGATCACAATACAAAAGCATCATTAGTGCTGATGGAGAACTCAGGGGAAACCCGCTTCACTTAAATCTCTGGTTGAATCTGAAGAATTATCAGCAAGAAAAAGCTTGCAAACAGAAACCTTTAAACGTGGAGTCAGAGGCAACATGGAACTTCCCAATGTCATTTGTTGTCACATTTTAGAGTAGAACTGCACTGTACATTTAAAGTACCAGGCATCAAGATAAGGAAGTTTAACAAAAGTATCACAGGGCAAAGGTAGAGAAAAATGTATTCATAACTAAAAATAAGGGAAGTGATCAGTGCTGTCATTCCAAAATCCCCCTGGAATCACCCAATCTGCTGGAAACATCACACACACAGTATTTTGCCACAGTAGCTGGAGGGAATCAATAAGGTATCTGAGAGGAGTTTAAAAGGTTTACAAACAGGGAAAATTTCCCAACATCTGAAATCTGTTGGCCCTGGCAAGGACAGAACCTTGGCTAATCCTGGACGATAAGGAATGGGATGGAAGAAGAAAACGACTTTGTTGTGTGCTTGACAACACCTAGCAAAGTAGGGCACTGGGCAACAGCTGGGGTGTGCAGGTACTTCACAACAGAAATACATAACATAGGTTAAAGCTCTAAAATCCGGGACTCTGGTCCAGCAACATCTGCAGTCTGGCAGGACCAGATTCAGACGTGCAGCCCTGGCCAGGGCTGATGGTAAAGAGCGCAACCCAGTCTGAGCTGGTGCGGCGAGGGAAATCTCCTCAGTCAGGGCTGGCACGGTGGGGGAAACAGCCTCAGTCAGGGCTGACACAGTGAGGGCAACAGCCCTGGCCAGCGCAGACAGCAAGGAATGCAGCCCCACTAGGGAGGGAGGTAGCAGGGCCAGCGGCCAGGAATGCAGCTAGTAAGGTGGGGAGCGCAGCCCTGTCCGGGGCTGGCACGGTGGGAAATACAGCCTTGGCCAGGGCTGGAGTCAGTGGGGCCAGCAGCTGGGTGTGCAGGCCCAGTTGGGGCTGGAGGCAGTGGGCAGGCAGCATAGGGCGCAGCCCCAGCCAGGAGCAGAGCCTTGGCCTCCCCTTGTCAGACAAACTCCGTAGTTCAGGACCTCTCCAGTCCTGAGGGTGCTAGACAAGGGAAGTCTGACCTGTAACAATAGCCATCAGTGTGCAGGAGAAAATCACCAGGGACACTAATGGGCACATGGCATTAACCCATGGTTTAGAACAGAGGTGTGGAATCTTGTTTGGGTTGGGGGTCACTGATCCATAGAAAAATCAGTAGAGGGGGGGAACCCAAAACCCTCATGGATGTGGCCCCCAACTGAGAAGGGCAGCCAGGCCTCCCACTCTTTGAGGATCAGTAGGAGTTGGACACCTAACACCTATCTGTGCCTGTGAAAGTCTCTCCCAAAGAGTATATTGGAAAGCTAGTTGCAACTTTAGCAATGGAGTTATGACTGTGGGCCCCACAGCTGACATTCACACGTGACAACGCATGCACACGTTGTTTTCCTTTTTTAAACTATTCCCTCCCCTATTTGCTGCAGCCAGAGCAATACCTTATTACTTTTTATTTCTAACACTACAACAAGTGTAGAACCACACCTGTGAAGCTGGATTTGAAACCAGGAGGAGGTGGTGGTGGTCTCTGACGATTCTCCCAAGACATCCTAGAATATCCATCATCATTAGAGAAATCCTGCTGAGGCACGTGGTTACTGAGGAATAACTTGTAACATCCATAAGCAAGGAGCAGAAGCACTATTACGACAATCACTCCAGATGTAGAGTCAGAGGAATCCTGAGAATTCACTTTGTTTGATTGGAAATAGCTGGAGCCAAAGCTTCCAAAGTTGTTAGTTTTTCTTTGGCCTTCCTCAGTTAACTCTAACGCATACTGCAAGCCACAAGATCCCCTTAAGATGTAAGGGTCATCTGGATAATCATAGCCTTCACAGCTCACTTCAATTCTTCCAAAGCGATAGGAGTTGTCCAAGTCTGCCTTACACTCCCACTGAAAGTAGTAAACAAAACTCAAAGTAGTAACCATTTCCTGGAAAGTAGGTGACAGTAGATTTTTTTTTCTTACAATCATTGCTATAGTTCAATCTGTCTAATAAAATAATCAGCTAAAAACAGTAATTAAAAGAACTTCTGGACACTTGTATTTTAAAATTTAGCTACAAGATTCATAAACCTTTAAATGCAAGAAACTGAACATTCAAAAAGTAAAGCAATTGTAGCTTGAGAGTTTCAGTAGTTTGTTCATAAATCAGGTTTTTCTAAGCATTTCTAAAAAACACTGCAGAGTATCATGTAATACAAAAATTATAAGCACAATAAAAATATTTGAATAAGCATCCATCACAAGAAAGCTGTGTGGTAGTTGCACTGAAATACTAATCAAGGCCCCGATCCTGCAATCTGAAAAGTCAGCTAGGGATGTGTACTAGTAACCAACACTCAGGAGCAGCACCCCTGCTGGGCCCACTGTTAAAACTGATAGAAACTCTGGTTTTGGTTACAGGACACCTGGTTTGAGGTTTAGCTTAAATAGAGTGCCAGTAAACCTGTTTAAGATAAATCAAAATAAAGGTGTTAATACATCGTCTTGCAAAGTTTAAACTAACCCAATTTAAAAATAAGTTAAACTTCAGCAACTTTCTTATGCAGACAAGACCTTACTTTTAACTAAAGAAAGATATGGGTAATATGGAAACTTTTGTATTGGTCTTAATTAGGTTTCTTAAAATACACTTCTTAACATTTCAATTGGACTGGAAAAGTGTTCTTAACGTTAAAATTGTTCTTTTAATAAAAAGTTTATAACTTTTGCATAAAATCTAAGTTTAGGGTGTAAACTAATCAACAATATTCCTTTAAAACTATGCTTTAAACGGTCACTAAAGCAGTGGTGGGCAACCTGCAGCCCATCGGGGTACAATGTGTGGTCTGCAAGACATTTTGTTTACCGTTGCCCACATGCAGGACTGCAAGATTCTGCTGGTTTCTCTCTGCATATTTTTTTTCCCTACTGGTATTACTAGAGTAACATGCACGTAAAGCCAGGGCATGTGGAGTGAGGTGTGTGCTGACTGCACACAGCATTGACTGTGAGAGCCATGTGTTCCCTCTGCATCCAATTAAAGTGATGCTACAGTTCAATTGGTACACCCTGCAAATTCTGGGTAGGCAAGCACAGTTAGCCAAAATAATCCCAGGAGACCATTATGCGAGTCTTGTGGCCCAATGAGATAAAGGGCCATTCATGCAGCACATTTGCTAGCCTAGATTGCCTATCACTTCACTAAAGGATAAATCTACACTATAATTTAGAAGTGTCCTTGGGAGTCTTTACAGTTTATGGTTGCTGAAAATTTCATTCAGTCTGTGCAAAGATTTTTTTCTTATTTAGCATTTAATTTACATACATATTTAAGTGACTCTACCTGTATGTCAAAGCCATCCCAACCTTTGTTATGACACTGAACAACTGCAGGGACATATGCACATCTGGCTGTGCCTCCAGTACATTGTAGCTGGGGAACGGGAGATGTCCGCCGAGAAGTAGTATATTGGTCTTGGTAGAGAGTGAGAACTTGGACCTCCCGCAACAAAACTCTCCCTGAAACAGGAAGTATGCAAATTATCAGAACTAGTATGAATGAAGAATGCATTTCAAAACAAGACTAAATGTGAGTTAACACAAGCACCCTGCCAAGATGCTTTCAGAAACAGAGAATACTTTAGTATCAGAGGGGTAGCCGTGTTAGTCTGAATCTGCAAAAGCGACGAGGAGTCCTGTGGCACCTTATAGACTAACTGAAGTGTAGGAGCATAAGCTTTCGTGGAAAAAGACCCACTTCGTCAGATGCATGTAGTGGAAATTTCCACTACATGCATCTGACGAAGTGGGTCTAATACTTTAAACCACTTGAGACATCTAGCAACGTGATTGTGGCTGAAAGTCTGTGACACCTACAGACTCTGATAATAGGATACAGCCCTGTTTTACTCCTTTCAAAGAGATGTTACTGTGTATGTCACAGCCCCAGATGACACCTCACCAACAATATACAAGCTTATTGTGCAAGAAACTTTGGCTACAATGCAGTAGTTTCTCTCTGAATACTGAATCCCTGACTGTGTATTTACCATAGCAATGCTTGTGAACAAATTTGTTTTAAAAATATTTGTCTGTTTCATAGATTCCATAACAAGCTTTTGATGGGGAATCACGATTGAATCTGAAATGAGTACAAAATGGAAGTGGAGGAGAAAACTATGATGTCATGGTCCTCCCCAGTCAAGACAGAAATATACCTACTGAAATCTTTCAAGCATGAACATTTCAGCCTCACCTTTTTCTATTTACATGTGTAAATGACACATCACATATCAATGACATATGACCTCTCCTGGAACAATCCCAAGTCACATTCCCATTAAATCACAAACTAAATGATTGCTTCATCATGATGACTAAGAATATTATCACCTCCTCAAGAGGATTGCCAAGAACCTTGTACCTAAAACATCACTGCAATATATGAGGCCTGTGAGGCAAACAAACTCCTCAAATCGTAATTTTTCAGTGGGACAAAAAAAACGAAACAATTAAATTCTGTTAGAGATTTGGATACAGATTCTAAATAATGCAAACATGAGAGCTGTCACAGCGGATTAGTATGAATGGTGCATCTAGGCCGATATTCGGTTGAGTGCGAACAGGGCAGTGGTTCTCAGCTCAGTTACCACTGTGGGGCCCAACAGTTCACTGTTTAACGAACGCAACTAGGACAAAAAAAACGAAACAATTAAATTCTGTTAGAGATTTGGATACAGATTCTAAATAATGCAAACATGAGAGCTGTCACAGCGGATTAGTATGAATGGTGCATCTAGGCCGATATTCGGTTGAGTGCGAACAGGGCAGTGGTTCTCAGCTCAGTTACCACTGTGGGGCCCAACAGTTCACTGTTTAACGAACGCAACTAACCCGGGG